TTGATTTTTTTTTAATTTTGAGTTTACTACCATGTAACAGTGTTGACACAGTGGGGCAAATAAAAGTTTACATAAATTTTATGTCTGCAGGGACTCTAGAAGACCGCCTTCATGTCCTTTATGAAGTATTTTGTGCAAAGAAATTTATTTCATGCCAATAAGACCTTCTAGAGATAGTGTGCGAAAAGAAGGCCTTAATTGGGTCTTTTATTAAGGGAAAGTTTTCAAAAATATTATTTTCAGTGGTTCAATATAATTATAAACAGAGATGACATTTAAGTGGTATACATAAGAGACCTTGAAGAGTTATGTAAATGGAGGACTCTCCATCTTCTGTACAAAAATACCTTCAAAATCTCCACTATGTAAATTATACGTAAGAAGCTTCCTTTACTTTAAACTTTCCAGATAACTTTCTATGCGCCTTCTGTTCTTCTAAGACTTTCTAGAAGTACTTTATTTATGGATCTATAAAGTAGTAATCACAACCATATTCGTTCAGCGGAAGAATAAAACTAATTATATTGTAAATCAGACTTGAGCCCAATATTATCACTCACAAACTAAGCTGTACTATTAGCAGACATCTAATGGATTTTCTATATCTTCAAGCTTTCAAGAAGACGAGTAAACAAACGAGTCGTATTTTTTCAACTACATCAGCTGATGCTCTCTCCATCTCTTCGATGTAGTAAAATTTGATTTTTTTAAGTATTAAGGGTTTTATGAGTTGGTTAAATTTTTCCTAAAAGAAACATGACAAAATGTAGGCTCCAATTTACAGTTTCCTATGAAAGAAGCGGGATATGAACACACCTCAGTCACCGTTCGTCGCATTACCCTCATGTGGAACAGTGAGCGATCCACCGCCATAAGGAAATGTAATTACACCCTGGTCTACGTCATTAATAGTCTTTATTGGGATATCATTGCCGTGACAAAAATGACCCGGACAACCTTCAGTTCTGTTGCCCAGCCGTTCTATCTTCATCCATCTCTTGCGAGACATTATATTCGTAACAATAACAATTTCATAATAAGGTGGTATATCTCCCACAAAAGGTTCAACATTTTTAATAACAAAACACTCATAAAACGCGACATAAACTTCCGATTTTCTTTAAAGTTTGCACATACCAAAATTTATACTAAAGCAAGTCTGATTTTAATATGATATTCGCCAATCCCTTCTGGTATAAATAGTCATAATTTCCAATGCTAAATTCTTTCATAACCTGCGAAACAAGTCAGCGATTCTTTCCGTGTTATATCGAAGAAGGACCAACAAGAACCCTCTTGACCAAAATATTCCTCGTGTTTTATCAGCAATATTGTCGAAGACATTATATACCTAAAATAAGCCGATTCCGAGGAATCTTAATCTCAAAAATGTTCAAAAGACGAGTGGAAGACGAGGGAAGTAATTGTTCTTATACAACAAGAAAGGATCATCCAATTTCGTCAAATTTAGAAAATCCTAATATTTTTATCAGTGCTAGGTTGGGTACGAAAATGGGCAAAATCGACCCACTCCATCAATTATATTATAATTATATTATAGTATAGTGAATAATTATATAGTCCTTTGAACTTTTGTATCTTTTAAAGCATTTGTATCTTTTAAATTCGGACATGTATTGCCCATTTGTTGCACAATTAATTTAAAATCGGATAAAGATATATATGGGAGCTATATCCAAATCGGCACCGATCTCGATAAAATTTGGCAAAGATATTTCTGAGCTGTCTTTGATATATTTCCCTGAATATCGTTGTTACGGAGAGTCTCAATTTCCCCTACTTATGTATTGCATAATCAATGATTATTTTCAAACTTGGTATGTCTGAATATTTTTCTCATCCAGAGATCTGATGTGAATTTGAAATTTATCAACCCACTCTTTTTCGTGAAAATGATAGATATCGCAAATTATTTTTATCATCCTTTCAATAGAAAATTGTCTGTAGAATTAATGGCTCAGCTCACTTTAACACTAGTACTTGCCGTTTAAAGAGGAACACGTTTGAGTCCAGATGCTTTTATTTAAAAACTTTTTATACCCTCCACCATTGTATGGAGGGTATATTAAGTTTGTTATTCCGTTTGCAACACCTCGAAATATGCATTTTAGAACCCAGCATAAAATTCTTGATAAGCATAAAATTCTATGTCGATTTAGCGATGTCCGTCCGTCTATCCGTCTGTGAAAATCACTCTAGCTTCCGGACGAAATAAAGTAGATCGATAAAATTATACTCAAAAGTATATTATGTCTGCAGGACTTTTCGTATTGCAAATGGGCCATGTGGGTCCACGTTTTGCTAAAGCCCCCATATAACGGTACCTCCCGATATTCGTTATTTTGATGATTTTTGCAACATTATTCACCAGAATTGTTTCAAATTTGGTATTTAAAGATCGCAATGGCTGCTACAACCTATGACAGAAAATTGTCTGTGCAGGTCCACGTCTTCGTATAGCCCCCATATAACGGTATCTCCCAATATTCGGTATATTGATGATTTTAAAGACATTATTTACCGGAACTATTTAAAATTTAGTATTTGAAGTTCGTAATGAATACTACAGCCTATGACAAAAAATTGTCTGTCCAAGTTCACGTCTTCGTATAGATCCCATATAACGGTACCTCCCGATAATCGGTATTTTGATGATTTTAGTGAAATTGTTCACCGAAATTGTTTAAAATTTGGTAGTTGATGTTCGTAACAGATACTACAGTCTGTGACAAAAAATTGTCTGTGCAGGTCCACGTCTTCGTATAGCCCCCTTGTATTGGTACCTCCCGATATTCGGTACTTTGATGATTTTAGCGACATTATTCACAAGAATTGTTTCAAATTTTGGTATGTGAAGTTCGTAATGGGTGCTACAGCCTATGACAGAAAATTGCCTGTTCAGGTCTACTTCTTCGTATAACCCCCATATAACGGTACCTCCCGGTATTCGGTATTTTAATGCTTTTAGCTACATGATTCACCGATTTTTATACCCTACAGCACAAGGTGGTAAGGGTATTATGTCTTTGTACATTTGTTTGTAACAGACAAAAGAAAACGAGATTGACCCATAGTTCCTTTTGATGATCTGCATAGTATCACATTCTAAGTCGATTTATTCATGCCCATCCGTCCGTCCGTCGGTCCATGTATTTTTGTAAACGAAGTACAGTTCGCATTTATTACCCCATCCAGATGAAATTTTGCACAAATCATTTGTTTGGCTCAAGGACGAACCCTATATATCTTCGTCCGATTTGCATTTTAATGTGCACCAAACGTGTAATATCAGCCCGAATAGCATGAAATTTTGCACATACAACCAAATAAGGCCTTAAAATAAGTATGCCAAATTTGACGGAAATCGACTTAGATTTGGATATAGCTCCCATATATAACTTCTTCCGATTTACCTTGGATTGTGCACCAAACGTCTAATATTTGCCCAAACGAGATGGAATTTGGCACATACGACCGAATTGAGTTTAGAAGCTAGTATGCCAAATTTGTTTAAGATCGGTTCAGATATAGCTACAGCCCCCATATATATTGTTCATCCGATTTGTTGCATTTCTTACCCACAGCCGTAATATGCACTCTGTGACAACAATATTTGAGGAAATATATCAAATACAGCTCAGAAATACATTTGCTAAATTTTATCGAGATCAGTTCAGATTTGGATATAGCTCCCATATATAACTTCGTCCGATTTGTCTTTTATTGTACACCAAACGTGTAATATCAGCCGGAATAGTATGGAATTTTGCAAATACAACCAAATTGGGTTGAAAAAATTGAAAATAAGTAAGCCAAATTTGATCACACTCGGTTCAGATATAGCTATAGCTCCCATATATATTGCACATCCGATTTGTTATTTTTGTCCTCCGCAGCCGTAATATGCACTCTGTAACAACAATATTTGGAGAAATATATCAAATACAGCTCAGAAATACATTTGCTAAGTTTTATCGAGATCGGTTCAGATTTGGATATAGCTCCCACATATAACTTCGTCCGATTTACCTTTTATTGTGCACCAAACGTCTAATATTTGCCCAAATGGGATGAAATTTGGCACTTACGACCGGATTGAGTCTAGAAGGTAGTATGTCAAGTTTGGTGAAGATCGGTTCAGATGTAGCTATAGCTCCCATATATATTGTTCATCCGATTTGTTGTACTTGTTACCCACAGCCGTAATATGCACTCTGTAACAACAATATTTGGGGAAATATATCAAATACAGCTCAGAAATATCTTTCGAGATCGGTTCCGATTTGAATATATCTTTATCCGATTTCAAATTAATTGTGCACCAAATGGGCAATACAAGTCCGAATTTAAAAGATATAAATGCTTCGGCATATTTAGTCCTTTAACTTTAAATAATAATTATCATCATAGCGTGTATGATTGAATTCTCCCATAAAAACTTTTAATTTTTATGCGCAGCTCTACTAAATTACCAAAGTGGTGTAGGGTATCATAAAGTCGGCCCCGCCCGACTTTAAGGCTTTCCTTACTGATTTACTTGTTATTTTTAATATTTTGTATACATTATATGTTATGTTTAATTAACCGATTAAATATTTAACCGAACAATCCTTAATTCCTAAATTACAATACCACTGTGAATTCTAACAGCTATTACAACAAATATAGTATATGTATGTGTTGGGTATATGTAACTGACAAACCACCTAAACTGCATGTCTGTACGTTCAATAACTATGTTATTGGCGTTAAGGCGATTAAAATTGAACAACAACAACAAAAACAATAAAACCGTTTCGCATACAACTACACCCAAACAAAGACATTCAACAAATGACCAACAAATGGTAAACAAAAAGCAGAAGAAAAACCAAAACACAAAAAAGCGGAATAATGTGAAATCCTTCGCGAAACACCAAAACAAAAATAATAAAAAAAAAAGAAAACAATAATAAAAAAAGGGAAACAAAATAAGTATCAATAAATGAAATGAGAAAACAACGATAGCAAAAAAGAAAGAAAAACTAACATTGTGCAATAGTGTCCCTATTTCAGAACCACCATCTCCCCCGAAAACCCCTCTTCGATGAACGAAAATAAAAAGAAAACAAAAATCGAAGAGAAAACCCACAAAATAATGGTGGCTCGTAAAAAAGTGAAATATTGTTAATTTAGTTAGTGTTGCGTAGAAGCAGCTCACTGTCACACTGTTTAAAAACGTTCTCTTTGTCGGTTGCTCGGTCGTCGGTCCGCGCACAACACCCAATAAAGTATGAGATTATCGCTGAGCTGTGATTTCGTTTCAAGATTTCATTGAAATGTTCAATGTGTCTGTGTGTTAAAGTAATGGATCTGTGCGCCTCTCCACCTCCTCTCCATCGCAAAACAACAAAAGAGCAATGACCTGTGGCATTTCATTAGTGTTAGTGGCTAAAGGATAGCGCGTATCCTTAAATATAATTAAATCAACAACAAACACAACATTCGGGTTGCCAATAATTTTTTACATTTTTTTGTGAATTCCAGCTGGAGCAGCTAACTAAATTAAGTGAAAAGTGTATTTTATTAGAAACATAAAAACGTGAGCGATTTTTTAATGACAGCTAAGAAATAATACACCAACCGCACTGATTTGAAAGTGAAAGTGAAAAAAATTTGTATAGAATTAGAAATAATAATTAATTAATTGAAATTCAAAACACAAACCGACAGCATGGCTTGGAAATTTCGAAAAACAAAAATACAAGGACTGCAGAGTAAGTAAAGGAATTAAGCGAGAATTAGAGAAGCTTTTCTTTAAAATCACTTGAAAAAAAAAAAAAAATAAAAATTTAGATTTATACCCTCCACCATACATAGTATGGAGGGTATCTTAAGTTCTTCATTCCATTTGTAACACCTCGAAATAATAATATTAGACCGAACAAAGTATATATATTCTTGATCTAGACGATTTAGCCCTATCTGTCCATCTGTTGTAATCACGCTAGATACTTTAAAATTTTGCACAAATCAGTTTCATTTTCTGCAGACACATCAAGTTCGAAGATGGGCTATATCGGTCCCCGATATCGTATTTTCGTAGTCATCGGAATCGTTTCAAATTTCGTATTGAAAGATCTTAATAGGTACTACAACTTATGACAAAATATTTCTTATGCAGGTCCACGTCTTCGTATAGCCCTTATATAACGGAATCTCACGATATTCAGTACTTTCATGATTTTTGCGATACTATCCATCTGAATTGTTACAATTTTCGTATTTGAAGTTCGAAATGGGTACTACAGCCTATGACAATAAATTTCATATGCAGGTCCTCGTCCCCATCCCCATATAACGGTTTTCATTTAAGTGGTAGTTTTCGGATTTTTTTTATACCCTCAGCCATATGGCTACAGAGGGTATATACAATTTGATACGGTCAAAACGTGCCTAGTCGAAATAACGGTTTTAGACACTAGGTATCTTTTTGGACCAAATCCGTTTCAGAACATTTGGAGTCGATCTAGCGATGTCCGTCCGTCCGTCCGTCTGTCTGTCTGTCTGTCTGGGTGGTGCGCACAATAACTCTCGAAGGAAGTATCCGATTTAGTCCAACCTGGGTACATCGTAATATTTTTGTCAAACTTAGATCGAGTTCGGAGATAAGTAATATCGGTCCACTCCTTCTGGTACCTCCCCCACAAAAGGTCGAAATTTTCAAGAAATATATTATTTTTCACAGAAAAAGAAAGGATAATCCCAATTTGCTCCAACTTTGCAAATCCTAATATTTGCGTCAGTGCCAGGTCAGGTGGGAAAATGGACAATATCGATACACTCCATCAAGTACCTCCCCCACAAATAGTCAAAATTTTGAATAATTACAACGCTCGTAAAATGTGATGTTAGCGTCCGATTGTCTTTATATTTCACGCATCCTAATTTTTATATTAACCCAAGGTTTGGTGTTAAGATGGGCAAAATCGGTCCACTCCTTCTGGTACCTCCTCCACAAATGGTCGAAATTTGCAAAAAAAAAATATTTTCTACGTCAGTTCTAGTTCTCGGGCCAAAAAGGATAATATTGGTCTACTCCATCAAGTGCCTCTCCCACAAAGGGTCAAAATTTTGAATAATTATAACTCTTAAAAAATATGATGTAAGAGTCCGATTATCTTCAAATTTCACACATCCTATTATTTTTATGAATCCAAGATCTGACACAAAGAAAAATTTTTAAAAATTGAGAATGGAGTCAGATCTATACTCGGAATAGAATCCTTTAAATTTAGAGATTATATTTACGGATTAAAATGATCCATAAACAGATTTTTTTCATACAGACCAACATTGCCGGAATTTTCCAAAACCTTTAACAGAAGAAGCCCATTATTTTGTATTAAAATCGAAATGAAATGAACCTAAACTTACATATAAATTCAGACTAGCAAGTGTCCGCTACTACGTCAGCGTAAATTCCACCTTAAAATTGTAGATTTTTATGACAATTTGATCAGTTTAATAAAGTTGTTTAATCCAAAGTTCTACTACTAAATTTTCAGACTTTCGATTTTTATACCCTCCACCTTGAAAAGCAGGGTATATTAACTTTGTCATTCCGTTTGTAACATCCATAAATACTCGTCGTAGAACCCATAAAGTATGTAAATTCATGATCAGGATAAAATTCCAAGTCAATTTAACGATGTCCGTCTCTCTGTTGAAATCACGATGAGCTTCGATATTAGGCAGAACAATTTGTTTTGTGTCCAGGGTGATTGGTATTGAAAATGAGATTTCGTATAGCCGCCATGTTTTCGTATAGCTGTTATATAACGGTACCTTTAGATATTCAGTATTTTGATGATTTTCGCCCCATTTTTCCACGAATTAGTCTAAAACTTGGTATTTGTAGGTTATATTGTGTTCTAGCTCGGGTGACGAAACATTGTATGTATAGGTCCATGTTTTTGTAAAGCCCCCATAAAACGGTTCCTCCCGATATTCGGTAATTTGATGACTTTCGTTACATTTTTTCACGGATTTGTCTAAAAACTGGTACTTGTAGGACATAATAGTTTTTAGCTCGTCTGGCGAAACATCGTATAAATAGGTGCACGTTTTGGTATAGCCCCTTATAACGATACCTGCCGCAATTCGGCGATTTGATACTTTTTGTCACATTTTTCCACGGATTTGTCCAAAAATTGGTATTTATAGTTCGTAATGGGTTCTAGCTTCTGCGGCGAAACATAGGATAAATGGGTTCACATTTTGGTATAGCCCCCATATAACGGTACCTCCCGAAATTCGGTGTTTTTGATGATTTTTGCCACATTTGTCAAAAATTGGTATTTTTAGTTCGTAGTGGGTTCTAGTTCCGGTGGCTGAACATTTAATATTTAGGTCCACGTTATACATATAACGATACCACCGATACCCCGTATTTTGATAATCCCAGTCACATTTGCCCACGAAATTGTTTCAAATTTTATATTTAAGAAGATTTGGTAGATAACAATGCTTAAAGTATTAAATGAACCATATTTGGGTACCGTTTTCGTATGGCCTCCATATAACGGCCTCACCTACTCTATGGTTTTTCGAAAAGTTTAATAGCATTATCCAAACGGTCTTACTGGTATTTGTAGTTTAAAATGGAACACGTTTGAATTCAGATACTTTTACATAAAAAGGTTTTCCTTACCCAATCGTGGTGGGTATAAAAATTTCTGCCTGGCCGAACTTAATGTTTTTTACTTTTTTTATGTTTCATTCAATTTTTTCCTTTTTCGGAAAAAATAAAAAGAAAAAGTTTACCTTTTACACGAAAAAAGAATTCAAAATATTTCATTTTGAAGTTTACCGATGAGGATATGTAATTTTTCTGTCCAAAACTATTTTAACGTCTCCATATGTAAAGTCTAGAAACCAACAATGACCTTAATATCATATTCCGGAATTTAAGCTCTATTCCTTTTCCCAATACCAAATTTAGAAACATTTTGTGCGCATATTCAAAAGAATCTACATCTCCCCATCCCAGTCACCGTGATGCAAAGTTAGTACCATTTAGTACTCCTCCAAAAATTATTGCACAAATTTGCAAAACCGCCACCAGATCTCAAAATTAGATATCAAGAGAGACCTCAATATCGAATTTCGGTATTTCAGTTCTATCCCTTCAACCAATATCAAATTTAGCTTAGTTTTTTTCTAACAATATCTTAACCACAAAAACCAACGGTGACCTCAATACCAAATTTCGGTATTCCAGCTCTATCGGTTCACACATATCCAAATTGTACCAAATTTAGTACACAAAACTGTACGAACTTCCAAAAATTCCCACATGCCCCAATTCTACACTTCAATTTTCCAAACCTCAATCATACAATCCCATAAAATTTTATTTTCAAATTTCAGCTACATCGGTTTCCCCAAATCCAAATTGAACCAATTTTACTATATTCTAGTACATATAAGTCCAAATTTCCATAATTACCTCCATATCCCAATCCTTCAATCCGACAATAATTCTATTTCCACATTTCAGAATACCAGCTTATTACTTCCCCCAAATCAAAAGTGTACAAAATGTAGTACCAGTTAGTACACATAAGTACAAATTTTCATATGAAACAATACAATAGAAATCTTATTTCGAAATTTCAGATTTTCAACTACCTGTTCTATCTGTTCTCTCAAATTCAAATTGTAACAAATTTATTACCATGTACTATACATTAGTACGAATCTCCAAAACTGCCTACGTACCTTAGTTGTACATTGCAATAGTAAATTATTATTCCCATATTTCAGTATTTCAGCTCTATCGCTCCGAAATTGCACCCAATTTAGTTCTTTTCATGCACATAAGTACAAATTTTGAAAACTACCTCCACATCCCAATCCTACACTCTGCCAGTAATGTTTATTTCAATTCTCAGGATTCCAACTCCAACGGTTGGTCCAAATTCGAATTGTACAAAATTTAGTACCGTTAGGACTTTTCTGGAACATGAGAATGCACTACCAAAAATTACTTCCTTACATCGACTCTACTCCGCAATCTTAATTCCCATTCAAAAATTCTAGTTTTTAGCTCTAACCGATCACATAATGCGAAATTGTATCAAATGTAGTACATTTCATTACTTTTCGTACACTTATGGTGAGAATTTCCAAAAAAGTACCAAAATGTCCTTTGGTACATCCATCACACATACATCAGTGACCCTCATGCCATATTTAAGAGTTTTAGCTCCACTTGTTCTTCAAAGCATTGGGTACCATATTTAGTGCCTTTTAGTACTTTACGTACTATTCTCGTATGAATTTCCAAAAACTTAGCCTTATCTGACACCTTTGGACCAAGGGTAACCCTCAACCCAAATTTAGACCAAGGGTGACCCACAACCCAAATTTCGAGATTCTACCTTCAGCCGTTTCGTCTCGGCGTTGATGAATCGTTAAGTCAGTCAATTTGTCAGTCAATTATATTACTCTTTTGTTGATATAGAATATATAGATATAAAGGTGATAATACATAAAACGCTTTTTTGACTGGCTTAAGTCATCGGTTGGCTTCTTCGTAGAGGACAAAGGAGTTTCAGGTTGGCTTAGTTCGATTTTGCCCTACGCCCCTTTGTTCTTTTCCGAAGAAGACAGCCGAAGACTTAAGCCAAACAAAAAATAGTTTTATGTATTTTCACCTTAAAAAAATAAAGGACCTTTTCTGCCACAGAAGAGCAGAAATGTGGCTAAACAGAAATATGACTAAACTCATCAGAATACAGAATATCAGGAGGAACCATTGCATGTGGACCATAGGAAAACATGGACCTATTACGTAAGGTAGAAACCCATTATGTGCTCTAAGTAGACAATTTTAAACAATTCCGTTGAAAATGTGGCCAAATTCATCATAATTCCTACAATAGGATTTGGCGGAGAACTTTTCTTAAAATATTTTTCTGATATTTTTTAAAATATTTGGGGATATTTTAAATATTGCCATCAAAAATGGGTTTTTTCAGGATGTTTAATTTGTTTCGAAAACTCTCTTAAGAATTCCATTCAGAAACCCCAAGCCCAAAAATTGTGGATATTTTATACTCTACACCACCAGGTGGTCATAGTATTATATCTTTGTGCATTTGTTTGTAACAGGCAAAAGGAAACGAGATAGACCCATAGTTTCTTTTGATGATCTGCATAGAATCACATTATGAGTCGATTTATGCATGTCCGTCCGTCCGTTTGTCCATGTATTTTAGTAAACATAGTACAGTTCGCATTTATTGCCCGATCCAGATGACATTTTGCACAAATCATATGTTTGCCCAAGGACGAGCCCTATTGGAATTGGAGTTAATCGGTAAAAATTTAGATATAGCTCCCATATATATCTTAGGCCGATTTGCGTTTTATTGTGCCCCAAACGTGTAATATCAGACCGAATAGTATGGAATTTTGCACATACAACCAAGTAAGGTCAGAAAATAAGTATGCCAAATTTGATCGAAATCGGTTCAGATATAGCTATAGCCCCCATATATACATTGTTCATCCGATTTGTTATTTTTGTCCTCCGCAGCCGTAATATGCACTCTGTAACAACAATATTTGGGGAAATATATCAAATACAGCTCAGAAATATATTTGCTAAATTTTATCGAGATCGGTTCGGATTTGGATATATCTCCCATATATATCTTTATCCGATTTCAAATCAATTGTGCACCAAATGTGCAATACAAGTCCGAATTTAAAAGATACAAATGCTTCGGCATATTTAGTCCTTTGAACTTTAAATTATAATTATAATCGTAGCGGATATGATTGAATTCTCCCATAAAAACTTTTTATTGTTATGCGGGGCTCTACTAAATTAGTAAATTTGTGTAGGGTATCATAAAGTAGGCCCGCCCGACTTAAAGACTTTCTTTACTGGTTTTAAATATTTTTCCTGATATTTTTTAAAAATATTTGGGGATATTTTAAATATTGCCAACAAAAATGGGTCTATCCTTGCTAGGATGTTTAATTTTTTTTCACGAACTTTCTTAAATCTTATAATCCGAAACTCCAAAAATTGTGGATATTTTATTAAAAATATATTTTAAAATATTCTATAAAATCTAATTCAGAATATATAACAAAATGTAGTTAGGGAGAACTTGTCCCCCAAACTGCGACTTTGAAAGTGCCAATACACATATCCTGTAATTCTGCAATTTAAAGTTTTTCCAGGCGTTAAAAAATCCACAGTAAATTTTTTTATAAATATTTGTTCTTAATTTACAATTGTTGTTGTGAAAATAATCTTTTAACAAATCTACACCCACAACTCATCAAATCCCTATTTTCCATATTTTTTTTAGTATTCTATATCTGCATCCTCCTACTCTGTTGTTTTCTTACCCTCACAATCGGAGAAGATGAGGGTACAAGTACGGAAGCAACACCGGCGCCGCCAAAATCTTCATCACCGCCGCCAGTTGCCAAACAAACGCCAAAAATAACAAAATCACGAGTATTACCAACGCGACGGCCAGCGGCTCCAACAACTACCGTCAGGACAACAACCACAACGACGACGACAACAACAACAACTTCCACAACGGAGGATCCAACCCTTTTTGAAACCACAACCGCCTTCAGTGACATCTGCATGCATGGCATTCAAGCAATTGTGCCAAATTCAGAAGAAGATTTGACCGTCATCAAATCCGAGGAGGAATTTGTCCACACCATAGAGGGCGACTTGATGTTGAGTGTCATGACCACAGATCCGGTATCGGCAATGTTTGTCATCAATCGTTTGAATGTGGCCAATCTGTTGGAGGCTGATTTTGAAATTGGTGAGTGTTGGGAATATTCCAATTATTTATAGGAATTTTTTTTACTTTGCTTCCTTCTTCGCAGGTATTCGCGCCATTGCCTTAAGCTCCGATCACTTGCTAGAAAATGTGCTCCTGCAAGAGATCAAATATCAACAGCAATGTCTCACTCATGCCATAGGAATATTTATTGACTATGACTACTACAAGGAGTTGGAAAGTCTTATAAGTGACTTGGAATATAATATTTGGCCCATACCTTCCATTCGCCTGGACTTATTTCCCAAGGTGGCCCATTTACTGCATCAAATGCCTTGGGGTGATAAAATTGCCTCGGTGGAAATTCTCACGGAAAATCTAAATGTCTACAATGATTTTATGGATGCAACAAGGAAGGAGGAGATGTGCCTGATGCACTTCAAGAGTGACAACAACATTTACATATTGTTCGGAAACAAAATGGTCTCTCACTTCAAGGAGAACGGGACGATATTTGCTGTGCCAACGGAGAGGGTTGAGCGACATTTTATATTGGGTGAGTAATGTTGAAGAAAGAGGTGGCTCTCTGACGAATGAGGTAGTCTGTAGAGACGAGCAGACAAGTAATAAGAGTGTGGACACGCTGATGAGGCAGGAAGTATCTTTATTGAAAACTAACGACTCTGCGGTGCTCAACAGAGCAACCCCCGTAGATAGGCTGATGGCTCGGCATTGCTCTGTAGGGGAGCTTACAAGTCAGATCGACCTCCGTAAACATGCTAACATGTCAGCGTTGCTCTGTGGAAAAGCTGACAGGCCAACGTTGCTGTGTTGAGGAACTAACGGTTTAGCATTGCTCTGTAATGAAGCTGACAAGTAGGATCAACCTCTGTAGATATGCTAATGGGTCAGAGCAATCTCCGTTGATATACTGACGGGTCAGGTTTTCTCTGTAGAGAATCTGGCGGGTCAGAGCAACCTCCGTAGATTTGTTGAAGGGTCTGCGTTTCTCTGTAGAGAAGCTGATGAGTGACAACAACCTCAGTGATATGTTGACGGGTCAAGATTGATCTGTAGAGAAGCTGACGGCTCAGAGCAACCTCCGTAGATATGCTGAGTAGTCAGGGTTGCTCTGTGCAGAAACTGACGGCTCAGAGCAACCTCCGTAGATATGTTGAAGGGTCCCCGTTTCTCTGTAGAGAAGCTGACGGGTTAGAACAACTTCCGTAGATATGCTGACAGGTCAGCTTTGCTCTGTGGCGAAGCTGGCGGTTAAGAGTTGCCCTGTAGAGAAGTCGACGGCTCAGCGTTGCTCTGTAGAGGAGCTAACAACTCAAAGCTACCTCCGTAGATATGCTGAGGGGTCAGGGTCGATCTGTAGAGAAGCTCACGAAACAGAACAACCTCCGTAGATATGCGGACGGGTCAGCGTTGCTACATAAAGAAGCTGATGCTTCAGAAACTGACAACTCAGAGCAACCTCCGTAGATATGCTGAGTGGTCAGTGTTGATCTGTAGAGATGCTGACGGTTCAGCGTTGATCTGTAGAGAAGCTGACAGTTCAGCATTGCTCTACAGAGAATCTGAAGCTTCAGCGTTGCTGTGTTACGAAGCTAACAAATCAGGACAACCTCCGTAGATATGCTCATGCGTCAGCGTTCCTCTGTAGAGAAGCTGATAGATAAGAGCAACCTCCGCAGATATGCTGAAGGGGTCAGGGTCGATCTGTAGAGAAGCTCACGACACAGAACAACCTCCGTAGATATGCGGACGGGTCAGCGTTGCTACATAAAGAAGCTGATGCTTCAGAAACTGACAACTCAGAGCAACCTCCGTAGATATGCTGAGTGGTCAGTGTTGATCTGTAGAGATGCTGACGGTTCAGCGTTGATCTGTAGAGAAGCTGACAGTTCAGCATTGCTCTACAGAGAATCTGAAGCTTCAGCGTTGCTGTGTTACGGAGCTAACAAATCAGGACAACCTCCGTAGATATGCTCATGCGTCAGCGTTCCTCTGTAGAGAAGCTGATAGATAAGAGCAACCTCCGTAGATATGCTGAGTGGTCATTGTTGATCTGTAGAGATGCTGACGGCTCAGCGTTGCTCTGTGGAGATGCTGATGCTTCAGCGTTGCTTTGATGAGGAACTGACTACTCAGAGCAACTTCCTTAAATATGCTGACGGGTTAGCGTTGCTGTGTTAAGTTGTTGACGGGTCAGAGCAACCTGCGGACGGATCAGTGTTGCTGTTATGAGAAACTGAAGCTTCAGCGTTGATTTGATGAGGAACTGACACCTCAGGGCAACCTCTGTAGAGATGCTGACGGCTCAGCGTTGCTCTGTGGAGATGCTGGTGCTGTGTTGAGGAACTGACACCTCAGGGCAACCTCTGTAGAGATGCTGACGGCTCAGCGTTGCTCTGTGGAGATGCTGATGTTTCAGCGTTGCTGTGTTGAGGAACTGACACCTCGGGGCAACCTCTGTAGAGATGCTGACGGCTCAGCGTTGCTCTGTGGAGATGCTGATGCTTCAGCGTTGCTGTGTTGAGGAACTGACACCTCAGGGCAACTTCTGTAGAGATGCTGACGGCTCAGCGTTGCTCTGTGGAGATGCTGATGCTTCAGCGTTGCTTTGATGAGGAACTGACTACTCAGAGCAACTTCCTTAAATATGCTGACGGGTTAGCGTTGCTGTGTTAAGTTGTTGACGGGTCAGAGCAACCTGCGGACGGATCAGTGTTGCTGTTATGAGAAACTGAAGCTTCAGCGTTTCTCTGTAGAGGAGCAGATGCTTCAGCGTTGCTGTTTTGAGGAACTGCAAACTCAGAGTAACCTCCGTAGATATTCTGAGGGGTCAGCGTTGCTCTGGTAAGAAGCTGAAGCCTCTGCAGATATGCTGACGGGTCAGAGTTGCTCTGCAGAGGAGCTGACAAGTCGTAGCAACGGGTCGGCGTTGCTCTGTAAAGATGCTGATGCTTCTGCGTTGCTGTGTTGAAGAACTGACTACTTAGGGCAACCTCCTTAGATACGCTAACGGGTCAGCGTTGCAGTATTGAGTAGCTGACAAATCAGAACAACCTCCGTAGATACTCTGACTCGTAAGCTTTAAGCATTGGTCAGCAGAGGAGCTAAGAAGTCAGAACAAACTTTGCAGACATGCAGGCGGGTAAACGTTGCTCTGTGGAGAAACTGACTTGTTAGAGTTGCTCTGAAGAGCATCTGACGGCTCAAAGTTGCTCTATAGATTAGCCAACAGGTCATAGTTTATGTATAGATGATTTGACGGGTCAGTGAAGGCATGTGGAGGAGCTGACATGTCAGCGCTGCTCTGTAGCGGACCTGACATTTCAACGCCACTCTGCAGACGAGCTGAGGTGCCTAAGTTTGTCTGTAGATGAGTTGACGCATCAGCATTGCTCCGAACCGACGGGTCAACATAGCTCCATATACGAACTGACTGGTCGGCATTCATCTGCAGATGAGCTGAGGAGCTCAGCGTTCATGTGCAGAGAAGCTGAGTGGTCAATGCTGCTCTGTAAACGAACTGACGGGTCAAGTTTACCCTGTAAACGAGCTAGCGAGTCAAGGTTGCCCTAAAGGTGACCTGGTCAACGAGTTCGTGTGATCTTTGTAGGCGAGTTGATGGGTCAGCGTGCCTTTGAGGGCAAGAAAAAGGATCAGCCCGTCATTGTAGAGGAACTGTGGGGTCGGAGCCATTTCATGGACGAGCTGACCTACTATCACATACCTCATTGAATATTTCTCTTGAACCTGATCTCACTTTCCTCTCTCTCTTCCTTTTTCAGATTTACCCAACAAATCCTATATTCTAATGGAAAATGAGATCGATTTGCGTGTGGTCGATAAGAATATAACCCAAATGACTCTGGATGAACCGCTGATAGGAAAAACCATACTTCCCTCGAGAGTGTTGGCCTTTGCCCGACCTATTGTTGAGCTGGCACGATGGCTGAAATCTTCACTGACAAAGAACTGTAAACGTGTGGAGGAGTTCTTTTCGCTGGACACATGTGGTCAATTCCTCGAGTTTGTGGGCGATTGGGAGAAGCCGGAAAATCGTTTACCCGTACATGATACCGCCGAGCTGTTGGATCTAATGCGAATGCGCCATTTGGGCGCCATGATGAATTTTCAAATGTTTCAAAAGCAGGTGGAAGATCTGACGCCACCTGTCATCATTTATGAGGAGGACAAAATGAAGCTAAGGGAAATTGCTGCTCAGAATTTTGTGACAAATATCACGACGTATTATCACTACAATCGCGATAACCACACCAGCCTGGAGTTGAAGACGAAATTTGGTCATGTCTTTACGTGTCAATTTACGGCGGGGGAAAATTCGAGGTACCCTTTTCTTTTCGATGGAGAATCGGTTATGTTTTGGAGAATAAAACCCGACACCTGGGTTGCCACCGGCATGACGGCAGCAATATTGGGCCTCATCTGCACCCTGGCCATTTTGGTGTTTATTGTGGTGCGGATCTCTTTGGGTGATGTGTTTGAGGGTAATCCAGTGACATCGATTCTGCTGCTGCTCTCTTTGCTGCTAATGTTTACCTCATTTATTCCGTTCTCCATTGAGTATGTGGGAGAGCATCGCAACTCTCATGTGACCATTGAAGATGCGGCAACGCTGAACACCCTGTGTGCGGTGAGGGTTTTCATCCTGACCCTGGTATATTGTTTTGTATTCTCTTTGCTGCTATGTCGTTCGGTAATGTTGGCCTCAATTGGCTCAGAGGGAGGCTTTCTATCACATGTCAATGGCTATATCCAGGCCGTGATTTGTGTCTTCAGTATTTTGGTGCAGCTGGGAATGTCCATCCAGTTGCTGGTTGGCATGCACATTGCCTCCGACAAGGTATCCTGTGAGAACATGTACTATGGCCATTGGATGTTTGGTCTGTTGGCCTATGATATGCTACTGCTACTGAGCATCATTGCTCTGGTGCCGTTTATATATCGGTCACAGAGGAACTACAGAGAGGGAATTCTAATTGTCATTGGTTCGGTACTGATGTTGATCATTTGGATTGTATGGATCACCCTGTCGTTCTTTGGCGACGAAATGCGTGATGCTGCCTTGCCTTTGGGTCTCCAGGCCTCAGGATGGGCTATACTTGTGGGTATTCTGATACCAAGGACATTTTTGATTGTGCGAGGCATAGAACGATCGGATATTGCCCAAGCCCTACCATCGCTGACGTCCCTGGCCTTTGCCCAAAATCATCAATACTCTTCGGAACAAGTGGGTAACTCTTGGAAACCTCATGAATTGTTTCTAAATTATTTTTCCCTTTTCAGAGTGTCTATGAATGTGTGAATCCCGCCATGCGTAACATCTCCCAGGATGAGTTACATCACCAATCGCCCAGTGAAATTCCCACATTACCCTTACGGGGAGGTGGTGGTCCCAGACGTCAACAGTTCTTTGCCAACTTGCGACAGGCCAATGCCCACATTGGAAATCAGCGCCAGAATACCACTCGAGTAAATCGTGACAATAGTCCCGCCCATTCAGTGCAGGAATCTCTGACACCCTCCGATTCACCTGAAAGCAGTAAAATTACCAGGTTTTAGAATATCCAAAACAAACCAAAAAAATTAAAATCCAGGAGAGAAAGATTGGCATAACGAATGAGGTCCCTAAAAACAAAACGAAAAATAAAAATTATGCTTCCATCTACCAACAACAACAACACCAATATGGACCACAAGAAATAAAATTCAACATCAAAAATTCCCCATTTTAGTCTTTAGTTTCTAAGAACGTGGATAACGAACACTTTTTGAAAATTGTCAATTTTTTCAAAATATATTTTTAAGTTTGCAACTTTATTGGAATACTTTTAAGACTATTTTATCTTATTTTAGTTATAAGTCCCAAAAATTTGAAACTATTCTAGTCAAAACCCAAATACCTTGAAAGGAAATTTTTGAAAGTAAAACCAAAAAACACGAGTTGGTTTAACATATCCTTTAAATTAAGTCTATTGAATATCATATAAAACTGAAATATTTATTAATAAATAAAATAAAAAATATTTATAAAAAAATAAAATAATTTAATTTATCTAATACGCCTGATGAGCCAATTAACCAACGGCGAATACTGGTCGCATACTGGTTGATGCGTGGGTCTTCGTTATATCCCAATTTTCAATGCCATCTCCTCAACTCGAAAGATAAAAGTATAAGAGAGAAAGAGATAAAAGAGAAAATTATTAGGAATTCATCAACAAATGATATTGCCTTAATAGGGCAAACCTTTGAAATAAAAAACAGTTTAACTTATTTTGATCCCGGCAATTATACGCATATTTTCGTTTGAAAGATCCCATGGACGATTTTCAGGCCTGGATTAAATTATAGACGATTTAGAAACCTCGAGACTACTTAGTGGCTGATGTTATTTGAAAATCTGCAAGAATTTATGGCCAAGCTGTAGGACAGCGTTCAATTCTGCGTGAGGAGGATATGACAAGCTGAAGACCAAAAATTCGTAATAAATCAGCTGCTACTAACAGACGAGCTGTAGGTCGGGAAAACTTTAAATACGAACTGGAGGTCAGGATGATTCTAATCAGTCTTCATAGTAGAGCAGCAGGTCAGGGAGTCTTTATTGCCAGACTGAAGAGGCCGTCGTGTCTTATGAGCTCAGCCGGGGGTGATGAAGGCTTTACAGACGAGCTGGAGTAGAGTTTCAATAGAAAAACCAAAAGCGAGCCAATTTCTACATAGACGAGCTGAAGGTCTAAAAGTCTATACAAAAGAACAAGAAGACTTTAAAGACGAGCTCATATTATGCTGACGTGTCAGGAAGTCTTAATTGGACTTTTTATGGACTTAATGAAGAACCCGGAGTCTTTAGTGATTGCCATGATGTCAGGTAGTCATCCAACGTCTACCCAAGTCCATAGATGAGCTGACGGCAGGCGTTTTTACACAATGTTCCGGGTCAGGGAGTCTTCATAGACAAGATTACGTGATTGGGAGTCCTTCAAAATCTTGAACCCCATAAGGGGGAGGTACCAGAACAATCTTGCTTTCCCAAATACTCCAGACATAATAGTCCAACGGATTGTTATCCGGAGTTTCTGGTGGCCATTGTGCGCTTGAAATGATGCGAGGAACCTCATTTTGTAACCATTCTTGGGTGGCGCGTGCTGAGTCCTGTAGGAATGTCCAAGGTCAAGGCCAAAATACTTGCGTGTACAAGGCTTAAGTACACCCTCTAGAATATTTTCGCCATAATATTCGGCATTTATTTTGATGCCACGGTTGATTAATACGTGCGGAGATCGACCATTGGCTGTTATTGCGGCCCACACCATCACCATGGCCGGCGCTTGAGTTCTGGTGGCCAATCGAAGGTGCACATTTTCAGCTGACCTCTTTGGCAAGTATCAACTTTTTAGCTCTTTTGATACTATTTTAATTCTTGCACATTTCGGAATTTCAGTGGCTCTACCCCGAACTCATTTTTTAATATTTGCAGAATGGAATATTGCGATATGTTCAGCTCACGAGCCATTTTTCGGCCACTGCGACGCGGGTTTCGATCAAGTCGCTTCTTTACTTTTCGAACCATTTCTGCTGATGTTGCTATTTTCTTCCGTCCACTTCCTTGACGTCGGGCTACGCTACCAGTACTAGTATCACAGTAACGAGCGATGGTAAAAGATTTATTTATATTTGAACGATGGGGTGCTTTAACGATAACCACTTGTTATTTTCCAGCCAAATATAAATAAATCACAATATCATCTCACCCTGTGTACCCTCTGTAGCCATATGAGTATAATAACGTATTGCAGAACTAACTTCTGATATTTTCGAAGTGTTTTCTCTAATGACTTCTTAGTCACCATATTTTCAATTTATCTAAGTTAACTCGAAATCCGATTAATAATACGCAATCAATCTTAGCCACATGTTTTGGATTTTAAACATGTCCCCGCATGTGGAAAGTAACGAATCAGAAAGATTATTATTTACGTACACATCCTTATCCTTCGTATCCATAACTGTCTACGATAGGGCTATGGCTAATAAGATTGTGGCTCCATCTAGTAACAATAAGAAATGCTTAGCTTTTGGTATTCTCTAGAGCTTTTCTGTGCAAGAGCTTAAGAAATATAGGCGAACTTTCTGTTTCAAGTAGCTATTGAAGCTTTTTTTGAACTTTTCAACAATAGGAATGTTTACTTAAGGCTTAAACCAAGGAGCTTAGTGCTTAAAAAGCCCATCTAAAAAGTTGAAATTTTTTATGTAAAAATTGAATTTACCATTCTTACTTCTCCAATACAGATAAATAAATTCCCATTTAACGAAAAATCTAAGTAGTTTTACACCTTATTCGATTGACTTTCCGAACTTGATAGGAAGTTTTTCAATAATAAAAGCAAAAAATCTTCTAAGCTGGTCTACTTATATTCCTCTATATACAGGATGAGATGAAACAAGTAAAAGAACATTAAGTTCGGTCGGGCCAAACTTTTAATACCCTCCACCTTAGGGTAAAGGAAACATTAGAAGAAATGTGGCAAAAACCATCAAAATACCGAATATCGGAGGGTACCGTTATATGGGGGCTATACCAAATCATGGACCTACACATGCAAGGTTTCGCCAACGAAGCTAGAACCCATTATGACCTACAAATACCAATTTTCAAACAAATACGTGAAAAAATGTGACAAAAATCATCAAATTACCGAATATCGGTAGGTATCGTTATATGGGGGCTATACCAAACCGTGGACCTATAATTACAATGACTCGGAGCACGAACTAGGACCCATTATGACTCACAAATACCAATTTTTAGACAAATCAGTGAAAAAATGTGGCAAAAACCATCAAAATACCGAATATCGGGAGGTACCGTTATATGGGGTTTATACCAAATCATGGACCCATACATGCAATGTTTAGCCACCGGAGCTAGAACCCATTATAACCTACAAATACCAATTTTCACACAAATACGTGAAAAAAATGTGACAAAAATCATCAAATTACCGAATATCGGGAGAAACCGTTATATGGAGGCTATGCCAAACCGTGGACCTACAATTACAATGACTCGCCATACGAACTGGGACCCATTATGATCTACAACTAACAAATTTTCAGAGAAATTCGTAAAAAAATGTGTCAAAAATCATCAAAATACCGAATATTGGGAGGTACCGTTATATGGGGACTATACCAAAACGTGGACCTATACATACAATGTTTCGCCACACGAACTAGGACCCATTATGACTCACAAATACCAATTTTTAGACAAATCAGTGAAAAAATGTGGCAAAAACCATCAAAATACCGAATATCGGGAGGTACCGTTATATAGGGGCTATACCAAATCATGGACCCATACATGCAATGTTTCGCCACCGGAGCTGGAAACCATTATGACCAACAAATACCAATTTTTAGACAAATCCGTGAAAAAATGTGGCAAAAATAATTAAAATACCGAATATCGGGAGGTACCTTTATATGTGGGCTATACCAAAACGTGGACCTATACATGCAATGTTTTGTCACACGTACAGGGACCCGTTATGACCTACAAATACCAATTTTCAGACAAATCCGTGAAAAAATGTAGCATAAATCATCAAAATACCGAATATCGGGAGGTACCGTTATATGGGGACTATACCAGAACGTGGACCGATATATCGCATTTTCAATACCAACCATCCTAGACACAATGCAAATAGCTCTGCTAAATTTTCTACGGCTGTATCGTGATTTCAACAAACAGACAGACAGACGGACAGACAGACAGACGGACATCGTTAAATCGAATTAGAATTTCATGCTGATTATGAAATTATATACTTTATGGGGTCTACGACGAATATTTAAGGATGTTACAAACGGAATGACAAAGTTAATATACCCTCCTTTCCAAGGTGGAGGGTATAAAATCTGCAACCAACTTCAGACTGCTGTCATTTCTAAGCCACTCGTCTGACAGGTGTTAAAATTGTTCCAGTGACAGCTCATTATATTGTTTATTATATTGCATATTTTGGTGAGAATTTTCCAGAAAAACAGTTATTCGTGATGGAATTCAAGCGTGATAGTGTGATTTATTTTTATTTGGCTGGAAAACCACAAGTGGCTATCGTGAGAGCACTCCAGCATTTTAATGTGAATAAATCTTTTTGTGTCTCGTACCATCGCTCGTTACCGATTACGTGATACTGGTAGCGTAGCCCGACGTTGACCACCAGAACTCAAGCGCCGGCCTTGTTGATGGTGTGGGTCGCCATAACAGCCGATGGTCGCTCTCCGCTCCTATTAATCGACCATAGAATCAGAATAAATGCCGAATATTATAGCGAAAATATTCTGGAGGGTGTATTTAAGCCTTGGGCACACAAACATGTTTGCAGCAGACCTTGGACATTCCAACAAGACTCAGCACCATCATTTCCAGCGCACAATGGCAAGAAAAATTTCCGGATATCAATCCGTTGGACTATTGAGTCTGGAGGTTTTTTGGAATGCAAGGTTAGCACTAAAAAATACCAAACCAAAGTACCGCAGAGCAACATTCAGGCAGCGTGTGACGGTTTCATTGGCCGTTTGAAGGCCATAATACGTGCCAAAGGTGACCAATACGAACAAATCTAAGCTTATTCAAACATTTTATGCTATTTCCGACATTTTTGCTCTCATGCAATAAAAGTTAAAAGAAAAGCAAAAATGTTCGTCTTTTTGCAGTTTTTTATCTCCCCCTGTAGAAGTATGTTGTAGTACCTATTACGAACTTCAAATACGAAATTTGAAACAATTCCGGTGAATAATGTCGATAATATTCTAATATCAACAAAATGCCCAATAACGGGGTTACCGTTTTATGGGGCTATACGATATCTTGGACCTTTATAGACAGTTCTTGTCCTGGGGTAAAATAAAAAAATCATCAAAACACCG